CCGCTCCCGAGCCGCCGTCCTTCCAGTCACCCTGCCCCCCAGATCCGCGCCCCACGGCGGGGCGCTCAGGAGTCACACCAGCTTCCACCCTTGTCGGGGGGCCCGGCGGCCCCTCGCGCGTCCCTGGGCGCCGCGTCCTCCTCGTCCCCGTCGCCGTCGTCGTCCTCGCCGTCCGTGAACTCGTCCTGGCCGGGGCCGTAGGCCAGCGTGGTGTGTGCCAGGTCCACCTCGATGGGGAAGACGTCGGCGTCTCGCAGCACCGCGTAGCAGTCGTTGTAGTACTTGGACATGGTGGACACGAAGCGCTGCAGCTGGAACACGATGTCCTGGACTGGGGCGGGCGGGCGGAGAGGGACCGTGGCCGCGGCTTCCAGCCTTGCGGAGGGGCCCCTTCCAGCCGCCTGGCCCGCCTCCCTGTGCAGGGCTTCCCATCGCGCACCTCCCGGGGCCCTTGAGCCCTGGGAGGGGGCCAAGCAGAGGCTGCCCAGTCCTACACCAAACCCAGGTCTCCAGCTCCCAGCTGAGGGAACAGGAGCCCTGCCAGGGTGGATGGGTTGTGGACTGCACCCCAGGGAGTCCGGTCCCACCCAGTCCAGGTTCTGGAGAGGTGGGTGTGCTCCCGCCAGGGTTCTCTGCCTTGGGTCTGACTCAAAGCACTGCATGGCATGACATAGTCCTGGGACCTCAGGTAAGCACTTTTCCCTTCTGGGCCTCAGTTCTCCCAGCTCTGAAATGGGGAGATGGTATCCGGCCCCCCATACTGAAGATGGCACATGGACTGACTGAGGTAGGGCGTGACCCTCGGGCCCCTCACCATGCTTCTGATCCAGCAGCTCCATCTTCTCCAGCACGTCCTTGCGCATCTGGGAGAAGCGGGCACGGGCCTCCTGGCGGCAGCGCAATATCAGGCGGTACTCGTAGTTGCCTGTGCTCACTCGGTACAAGGGCTCCCCTAGGGCCTGAGGCAGGGAGGAGCACATCAGGGACTCTGAGTGGGGTGGGGGTCTGCTCTGGGACAGATGGGTCAGGGGTCAGGGAGGCTCACCCCTGCACCACATGGCACTTTTCAAAGCTACCAGGGTTCCTTACTTCTGAGATGCCAGGGATTGTGAGAAGCACTTATAGTTTTGTGAAAAAACAAACCAAACCCTTGCCACATTAAGTGAACATTTATATCACAAATGAGTCCTGGTATTAAAAATATTATAAATTAAAAAAATAAAGTCCTCTCAGGAGTGAGGAAAGTCCATTTTTCCCTGCAGGAGCCTCACAAAGTCAGGGGGGCAGCTTTTCCAGAAGTGGGCATGGGGCAGTTCCACAGCAAGCTGTCCAGCAGGCCAGGGGTGGGATAGATGGCCCCAAATCTCCATGAACAAGAGCCCGGCCAAGCCCCCAGGCCTCTCCTGGGTTGGCCTGACCCTCCTGGGGCCCCAGCAGGACCTTCTGGGGCTCTGTGAGGCAGGCAGGAGGAGGTGTACACCCTCAGCCTTTCCGACCCCAGGGCTGTCCCCCTCACCCATGACACTCACAATGCAGCTGTATTCTTCATCGTCCATCTCCTTCACCTTCAGGCAATACGACTGTTTAGGACAGGAGAGGCCAGGCTGTCAGAGAGACTGCACCTCCCAGATGCCCACCCTGATCCCAGCTCCCCACACGCCACACTGCCCCTAGACCACCCAGTGGAACAGCTGTGCCAGTCCTGGGCCCCGCAGACTCCTGACTGGAGTCTGACACACCAGGGAAGCTGGCAGCACAAGGGTGGAGACCCTCAAGCAGGCTGGCCCTTGCTTGAGGTGGCCCCTGGTAGCAGCAGACAGGGGAGGACACTCATCTGGGAGGGTGGGAAGGGCCTGAGCAGCCCATCATTTACCAAACTCAAGTCCCAAAGGATGCTCTGGGGAAAAGGGTTCCATGGTTAAGGAGCTGGGGGAGACCTGGCAGGCTCACACCACAAATGGGCCTATCAGAGACTCCTACAGAGAGGAACCCTGGCTTACTTAATGCAGCATTTTCCTTCGACTCCTCTGGACCACAGAATTATTTAAACATAAAACTCATTAACATCCTTGGGTACCCACTTTATAACCACTAACCTAGTCTAAAGCATTATTGAAAGTGACCAAAAAATCCCAAGGGGTCAGAGCTCCAGAGTGAGCACTCTGCCCAACCCAGGCTCCCAGCCTCCCTAAGGCTCTGAACAGTTAGGGCAGGGCCTAAGCTGCTGCCCAATCCCCCAGCACCTCCCTGGGCCCTGGTTCCACACCCTCGATCAGATGTGACAGGTCCCAGCCCTGCTCTGCTTCCATGTGGCAGATAGAAGCAGAGCCTACCAGGTAGGCTCCCACCCAGCAGGCCAGCCCCACCCCTTCCCAGAGGCTGCAGATTACTCACTAGGTACTCGAACTTCACGTCCAGGTACTTCTTGATGGTGAGGCGGGTGTCTGGGATGGCTTTGTTGAGGTACGTGTTCAGATCCGTCAGCATCTGGAAGGGAGAGTGGGCAGGTGCTTAGGGCCCCACAGGCAAGGGTAAGACCAGGATGACAGAGAATGGCACCGATGAGTCTGTTTTCTAGTGGACTCAGAATGTCAGAGCCAATGGGCGCTCCCTGATGGTCTTGTCCATTTCAAAGATAAGAAGAGAGGCCAGGCCCAGGGCAATCTGAGACTCAGGGGGAGAAAGGGCGGCAAACCACCTGGAGGTCAACGCCGAGGCCAAGGTGTTCTCACTCCAGCACAGGACCTCTCTGCATGACACACTGTCCCCTCTCTACCCTCACACGCTGACACACAGGCACTCCGCGTGACCTACCGGCTTGATGGTTTTCAGCAGCCGGATGCCAAACTTCTCAATGCTGCGGTGGGCGTCAGCAAACTTCACAAAAGCCTCGCTCGCAGCTGGCTGGGGCTCCCGCACTCCAATCACGGAGAACACGTCCCCAAAGGCTGCATGACAAGTTTGCCCTGAAGGCTGCCCTTACCTGGCCCTTAATGGAGAAGCCAGGGATTTGTGGGGGAGAAGCAGGCAGGGGGCATGGCAGGCTGGAGGCCAAAGTCTGCACAAGGTCTACAACCCAAGAGAGATGTGTCTACACCCCCAAGGGAGCTGGTCTACACTGCCAAGGAAGCTTGGTCTACACCCTAAGGGAGCTTGCTCTCATTCCCCCAAGTGACCAGACCATGGGAGAAGGCTGAGCCGGGCCTGGAGGTAGTGGTGGTGTCTAGGGGCAGAGCACCAGTCTGGGAGTTGGACACCTGGGTCCTAAGGCCAGCTCTGCACCTTAGGAGCTGTGTGACCATTTCCTCTGCCTGGGCTTCACTTTCCCAACTGCAAAATGGGGTTAACTGTAGCTGCCCTGTCCAGCTGAAGGACCTGGAGGATATGAGACCACAAATGAGGTAGGGCCGCATACACTAAGCCGCAGTGCACATAAACGGGATGGGCTCGGACGAGTGACTGTGCCCACAGAAGACCACTGGTCAAGATGCTCCCTGCTGGCCCTGTGTTGCTACCTTTTCACACCTAGACATGCACAGCCCAGAGCTGGCTCAGGCCAGATGTTGTAGTGTCTGCGTGAGCACTGGTATGAGGACCCCGGGAGCAGCTCAGCCACACCCTCGCTATATGAGGGAGCGAAGAGAGGGGCAGGGGTTTGCCTGGGGTCACGCAGAAAGTCTGGGGGCGCCCTTACCCCGGTGTGTCTGCGACAGCTCATAAAAGGCCCGTAGGAGGTTCTTGGTGTGCTCTGTCATCCCTGTAGGAGAAACCACACGAGGGGGAAGAGGCATGTGGCAGAGACCACACTGGCCCAGGACACGGCCTCCACACCTCCACCCCAAGTGAGGCCTGCACTGTTCCCGAGTTCACTGACTTCCCACAGGCCCACTGGGCCCAGCCCCAGTCCCACCCTGAGGAGCCCCCGTGAGACAAAGGAGCAGAACTCCGCAGGGGCAGGAAGTGGACAGGCCTCCTGTGGGTTTATTTCTGGAGCACGTGCTGTCCTGGGGACCTTCACTACATTTACACATGCTCTTATTTGCATTTTTATGGGTATGTATTACTTTTACAATCAGAAAAAATATGTCTTATGACTTCTTTAAAAGAATTCTTAATGGCCAGGGTCCTAGAATTTTATAGGCTGGCACTCCGGCCCTACTGCCACCACCTTTAGAGCAGGCCTCTAATGGTCCCCCCAGGCAGAGCCAGTGCTGGCCCACCAAGGACTACCAGGCGGAGGAGTGCGGCCCACCTTTATAGAGCTCAGCAGTCCGCTCCAGCTCCTCAAGTCTCTTGACAAGCCCATCTGTGGGGATGAGAGGGGGAGGTCAGTGGGTCTCAGCTAGCCAAGGGTGAGAGAAGGGCACCTGAGCCAGGCTTGAGGGGGCAGAGGCGGACCCCAGAGGACAAGCAAGATCGGCACAGAACGGGGTCCATGGAGGATTTGGCACCTCAGGGTCCGCTGTTTACAAAACACCTCAGGATGCCCAGATGAGAGGCAGGGCTGGCCCCCCAAACACTCCTAAGACAAGCTCCCACCCCAGAAGGCTGGGGCACATCGAAGGGGCAGATGGGTGATGATAATACAGGAATTTCCAAAAGTCACGTGTGAAAAACAGTCAGACCCTCCCCAAGGCCGAACCTGCGGATGGCTCCCCAGGGCCGCTCTGGCAGCCCTGCCCATAGCCAAGAGGGAAGGCACTCAGGGACAAGGGGGAGGGAAAAGACAGGCAGACTGACAATCAGTGTAACTGGGCTCCATGTGGCTCCCAGCACAGAGGGATAAATCCCGGAAGGGTTTTGGGGAAGAGCTCGCATTAGACAGGTCCCTGGTGCTTCTCTTCATTTGCTTAACGGGTGCTTGCTGAGCACCTACTATGTACAGACACTACATCAGGCCTGGGGATGACCTGGTGATTAAGATCCAAGTCATGCCCTCAAGGCTTACAACCCAGCAGGGGAGCCAGGCAGTAGCCAGGCGATGAGGGCAGTGACAGGGCTATAAGGTGGTGGGGGCAGCTGCCTCACCTCAGGGCCTGAAAATGGGGGCAAGTGGACTGCCAGGGCTGAGGCAGGCCCTGCAGATTAGTGGGTTGGGCAGGGAGCTACCAGACAAGCTAGGGCAGGGTAGTGAGCAGTGGTGCCAAGTGGGGCTTCCTGCAGCAGTGAGGGCCACCCCCTCCACTCCGATGGGGGTGAGGTGCGCACCCACCTCCCCACTGGGAGCCAGCAGCAACTGCAGGCCTGGGGCCCAGCGGTGGCTTCTTTGCCCAGCCGCCCCCAAGGCAGGGCTGGCCTTCCTGAGTGATTCTACTGTGAGCCAGGACCACTCAGGGATCCTTCCACACTTCCCTCCACACCTCCTTCCAGGTGAGCCTTTGGGGCAGGGCCTACTTTCCTCTTTTTTAAAATAATACTTCCCTCATTTTATAAAAAACAAACAAACAGGACTGAAAGGTAAGGCAACTTGACCAAAGGCACACAACTGGGGGCTGTCCGAGCTGGGGTGTGCTCTGCCCCCCAGTCTCCTGCGTTGACTTGGGTGGAGAGGGGAGAGCAGTAGCAGAGGCCGAGTCTGGGCCTGTCTCTGGACAGGGAAGGTTGCTGCGTTAATGGGCTGTAAAGGGAGGACAGCTGGGTTCAGGGGGAAGGAGGGGGCACCTTGGAGGTCTTCATGAGGCTTTGGCCACCCACTGGCCTCCAGGCCCCAGCTCTCCAGAGCCTTGGCACCTGGCCAGCCTGGCAGGGAAGAAGCCACGTAAGCGCGTGCTGTTGTTTTTGGCTGGGTCATGGGACATCGTGACAGCTTCAGTTTTAGAAACCCTATTTAAGGCTGGGGAAATTGCAAGGTTTGGGGGGAAAAACACAACAACCAGTTCTAATTTCATCTCAACGCATGGTAACTACAGTAACAGCGATTTATAGACACCGAGAGGCCGAAAATAGCAGCCTCCACTTCTGAACACCATTTGGAACAGGCTCAGACCCCACCCCCACATCCCAGCCAATGAAGCCCAGCGTGCCCAGCTGAGGCCACAATTTATATAGGTATTTATATCTACCCACGTACAGCAGAGCTGCTGCTGTTTATAAACTCAGGCTGAGGACGGTAGGAGCAGGTCCAAATGCTTCACCGGCCACCCTGGCGGAGAGCATGTGTGCACACATGCGTGTGGGTGTGAATGTGCACACATGCGGCCCTCTCCCCCCAGCAGCCACCTCCAGCCCTAGGCAGGACCAGCTAAGAAAAGGGCAGCAGCGCCACCTCCTGGAGAAAGGCAGGGCGGAGATGGGCAGTGCAGGAGCATGTGGGTGAGTTGAGGCACATGGTGGCACTGGGCAGCGGCTGAGGCCTGGTTATGTGACAGCAGCTGAGGCAGTGGCAAAGGCACAAGCTTGAGGAACTGGAAGGAGGAACCTCCCCACGAGGTCTGTCTCCTCGTCTGTGACCCATGCCTGTGAATCCTTGCCTGGAGGTGGGGGACACTGGCTGTAAGATGGCTCAGCTGACCACTGTGGATGCTCTTTGGGAGCTGGAGAGGCCTCCGGGGATACAGAGACGGTGACTATCAGCCCCATGGGTAGAGGCCAGGGCCAGGCCAGAGGGACCCACAGTGGCTCGGTAGGCAGCCACAATGCCCCTCCCCCTGAAGCCTGGGCCTGAGACCCGGGCTAGGGCTGGGTGGGAGGAAGGGACTCACCATTGCACAGGATGGCCCGGCTCAGGCCCAGGGCATCTGCAGTGCCTGAACTCATATTCTCCACCAGCCGATGCTTTACCTTCTTCAACACTGGACCAGGTAAGAGAAGGGCTCAGTGAGGTGGAGTCTGCAGCAGGGACTCCAAGCCCCCGCCTCATCTCATCATGACTCACTGGGGCAAAGGGGCTAAAGTGGGGGTCTGGTGTGGGGTGATTATGAAGTGGGGAGGGCCCCAGTGGGGGGTACTAGGCCCTGCCCTATTTACTCTCTACTTCAGGGAGCCAGGGGAGCCTGGAGGAGGTAACTATGTCAAGTGCTTTGCCACGGACCTGGCACTCCAAGCGGCTGCTGGCCATCACTGAGCCCCGATGCCACAGGCTTGACACCAATGGCAGGTAAACCAGGGAATGCCTCTGCCCTCCTCTCCCACATCCAGGCCTGAGGTGTCCCAAGGGGAGCAGAGGCACCATCAGTGACAGCAGACTTTGGACGCCAGACTGTTATTGTACACATGGTTGCACACTGTCCTTGGGAGGTGACCAGGGTGGGAGCAAAGGATTTTAACAGAAGAATCCAGGAAAGACTCAATATCCTCAGCCTTTCCTTAAAACCCAGGAGGTAGCTCTGGCCCTGGGGTACAGGAAAAGGCACCGGACTGGAGCCTAGAGACCTGGCTGTGCATTCACCCAGGGGACACAGAGCCCTCCAGGGGTCTTAGGTCTGTCTGTAATGGAGTGGCTGGCCCAGAGGACCTCTACTCTGTCTCGCTCTTGAGTCTTGAAGTTTCTACAGGCCCAGCCCCTACAGCAGAAGGCACCTTGCCCTGGGGCATGCTAGGCAGAGGAGCCAGTCTGAGACTTGGTTCAGACCTGAGCCTTCCTGGGAGAAGCTGGGTGGGAGAAGAGGCTCAGGTTAAGTGGGGTGCAGGTGGGCCTGAGGTACCAGGCCTGGGGTGGGGTGAGTACCTGGGCTGTGGTAAGCTGGGGGGTTGGCCTATAAAGGTCCCAGAGGAAGTGGCCTCCTCAGCCCTGTGGATTGGCTTGGTCAGGAGACTTAGCGAGCATGACCACGTAACTATTGGCACATTGTCATTAAGACGAAGACCAGGGGCTGGGGGCCTATGGGGTCGCTGGACGGCACTGCCCTGGCCCAGCTTACCGATGTCCAGGGACATGCCCTGCTTGGGGTCCGCCTGCAGCTTGTTGTAGTGGATGGTCACCTCCCCCTGGAAGAGCAAGACAGGCAGAGTTGAGAAGGAGTCTCCTGGGTTGCAAGCCCCTTCTCCAGGGAGGCCTGTGTGCCCGCAATCTGTGGTCATGAGAGAATCTTGAATTCAGCCCTGCCAGGCCCGGGGCTGTGACAGACCCTGCTCTGTGACTAGTCTACTCCCAGGTCCCTCCCTCTCTGTGCGAGGCCCTGGAGAATCAGCAGGGACGGGACAGGCATGGTCCCTGATGTCACAGAGCTCACAGCCTGAGAGTCTCTGATGTCCTGTGCTCCAGCCACATCAGGTGCCATGTCCTCCCTGACGCCACACTCCAAACTTTGCTATGTCATTTCTCCTGCATAGAATTTCTTCTCCTGTGCTCCAAATCCTCCCCACCCTCTTGGTCCCCCCATTCACTCAACCAAAGTGTCAGAGCACTCTCTCCGTGCCTGGTGCTGCTATGCCAGGGTGCAGGGGCCGTAGCCCCAGGGCCCAGGCCAGCGGGAGAGGCTGACATAAATGAGGGAGTTACACAGTCCAGTTCTAGTGACTGGAAGAGAGGTGCCAACTTCTCCCAAGAAGCCTTCCCTGACCACATGAGGCCACCACAGTCACTCTCGTCCTTGCAATCCCTAAGATCCTTCAACTTGGGATGGAATCCATTCGAAATACAACACGGGATTTCAAAATTGAGTAAAGGGAAACCACACTGACCTACTGTGGTCAGAATCAAAGGTGGGTGCGACAGGCTCCCTCAGAGTGCAGCCCAGTGTGCAGGGGCCACCACAGATGGCCGCTGAGGTAAGGGAAGAAGCACTGCAGAGGGGGTCAGCACTGGGTGCTGTTCCAGCAGAGTGACCACAAGCAAACTCCTTCATCCTTATGGGCACCCACATAAGAGCTGGGAGATCCCTGTGCTAATGTCAAGGCCATGCACACACACGAGCTCCTGTCCCCACGGGAAATGCAAGGGGCTGGCTTGAGGGGCAGGACAAGGAGGGTCCTGGTGAGGAGCAATGGTGAGGGGGTAAGGGAAGGACCCAGAAGGGCACACAACACCTGCGTTCTGAACCAGAATGAAACACTGCTCACCACTTTCCATGATGAGCTCCTTGGCCCAACAGGTAATGCCCAGGCCAGTAAAATCCAGACCAGGCAAAGCCGCCTGGGCTCTGAGTGAGCCTCATCACTTCCTTTTGTACAACAGAGCCCTAAGTCCCAGCCCCAGCCCCCATCTATCCCTTGGCTAAAAGGGCTGGAGTAAGAAAGGACAGGATGGGACTCTTGTCCTAAAGGCAGGAGAAATGAGAGTGGTGGGAGAGAACAGAATAAAGGGGGAAAGGAGCTGGCCCTGGACTAAGGCAAGAAAGAGGGACTGGAAGGGACCCTGGTACCAGGTCCTTAAGACATGGATGATGGAGAGGGGTGAGGAGAGGTCGGGATGGAGGGGCCGAGGGAGTTCAATTTACAGGTGGAACACTTGACTCTCAAGACTTTGAAACCATCCCATGGCTTTGCAATGCCTTCACTCTGTTGGTTTCCCAAGAGTCACCAGCTGCAAATCTCTGGGCAGTGGCAAAAGGGCTGCACCCTTGCTTCGAGAGGGGCGCTGGCCGGGAGCAGCTGGCGGGAGGGGCGGGAGGATGGAGGTGGAGCGGGACAAGCAGCAGGACTGTGGTCTGAGGAACAGAAGACCAGCAGCTGGACAGTGAGTTGCCCCAGAGCCAAGAAGGGCCCCTGGGGTCTGTGAGCCCAGGAGGACCCACTGGAATGAAAGCTCCTATAGGAAGAACAAGGGAGACTCCTCTTTCCCTCTGCCCCTCCTGGGCCCACCATGGCTCTGCTGACACCTACTGGGTGTGTGGCCCAGGTAAGTTCACCCTGGACTTCTAGCTTCAGCTCCAGCCCTGAGTGGGGACACGCTGGCTCACCCTGAAGCTTGGTTCTGAGTCTCACAGCTCCCCTGGGAGCTCGAGGACAGGGACCTTCAGCTCTTGGTGATCACTCTCTTCCCAAGGCCCAGTCCAAGCCCTAGAGCAGAGTTAGTATTAACTGAACGAGTTAACAGCCCAAGGGAGGCCGGAATGTGAGCCAGACCCCGATGCTGTGAGGAGGGGAGAAGTGACAGGGCCGATCTCCCTTCCAGGCCTGCCGGGGCCCCACTCCTGCAGCAACCCTACCTTTACTTCCTGAATCATCTTTGCTACCTCCACCTTGGTCTTCCCTTTGATTGACCTGCCATTGACACCGGTGATCTCATCGCCAGCTGCCACAGTGCCATCCAGGGCTGCCGGCGTGTTGTCAAATACCTGGGGACACGTAAGGAAGGCAGGGAGAAAGGAGAGAACTGAGAAGACCTGGCAGGAGGCAGTCATTCCCTTTACCCCAACCAGTCTCCAGCTCCGTCCCGGCTTCTATCCTCCCGCCTCTAGTGGTGCTAGAGAAGGGCAGGGTACAGGTGCCTGACCAGACAGAAGTGCAAGACTCTACATTCTTGGGGCGGGGGGGCAGAAGATAAATTCAAACTGATGAGACCTGTCTTTCTAATATCAAATACACCAAACCTTACACAGCCACCTGAGCGTTTGCTCCTCCAAAGTCATTTCTTTAGATTTTTCTAACAATGCTGCTCCGAGCTGACTGACACTGATTTGGCCAAAAATTACAAAATAACTATGTTGTGAAGACAGGGTGAAAGGAAGCAGAGTGGTGTAGGAAGAAAGAGGCTAAGCAGGCACATGGCAAGGGGACCAGGCCCGAGGGGCGCATCCCTAATACCTCCTGGCCCAGAAGAGGCCAAATCCCTTGTGAAGGCAACACCCTGAGTGGGCAAGACTAGGTCCCAGGAATCTCCATCTTCAAGGCCTAGAAGTGACTCCTTTGCAAGATCCTCAGAGACTATACTTTCCCAACTGCCACCAACGGCTACTTAGCTGTCAGAACAGGTTAGAACAGGGTGGAATCCTGATCAAGTTTATGCCCGAGGTGGCAGGCTTACTGCCTGGCCCCACTCCTGAGTTCCTGCTGACAGAATATTACCAGGCAGCCTCCTCTACAAGGACTGCTCATTACCACTGGCAGAGGGAGCCACTGCCGTAAGAATAGCAGCAGCTACGCCCTGGCCAGTGCGGCTCAGTTGGTTGAGCATCATCCTGGGCGCCAAAAGGTCGCAGATCCGATTCCTGGTCAGGGCACATGCCCAGGCTGCGGATTCAGTCCCTGATCAATGTTTCTCTCTCTTTCCCTCTCCCTTCTCCTCTCTCTCTAAAATCAATAAAAACATGTTTTTTTAAAAAAGTAAAAATAGCAGCAGCTACTACGTAGTGAGTACTTATTGCATACCAGGCATTGTGTTATGCCATTTTATTTAATCTTCACAATACCCCAAAGATGCTCATCTTTACATATTTATATCCCTACTTCCCAGGTGAGGAAACTGAGGCCCAGGGAGGTTAACTAACTTGCTAATAAATAGGGCAGCTTGCATTTTTGAACTCAGGCCAGTTATTTCATAGCCTTTTAGTCTGTCCACTACACTTCACTTGTGCTAGCACCAAAGACTGATGATCTTATTGACTCATTAATTACATTTTTATGGAGGGTCCTCTCTATGCCAGGTTATACTAGGTGCTGACTGGTGAAAAGCAACCTGGGACCCTGCCCTCCCAGTACAGGGTCCTGTTGGAAAGCAGCTAGATACAGAGCTGAAGAGCAACCCCTGATGACAGAGGGAAGGCAGGAAGTGCTGAGAAGGAAGAGAACCAAACAGAAGAAAACCAGGTGGGCCTCCCGAGAGGCACCTCAGGCCTCAAGGATGGGAGGAGCCAGCTCTGCAGAGCAGAGAAACTGCCTTTGTCATGCCAAAGTAGGGAGGTGGCCCGCCCCCT